GTTGCGAGTTGTAATGTAATAACTCTGTGTTTCTCTGAAAAATGCTACAATGTGTTGCCTAACCTGGGCAGAAAAAGGGAATCCAATAAAACTGAGAATAACTTTATGTACTCTATAGATTTAAACTAGAGTGGATTGCTAGCTAGCGATAAATTTGTCAGCCTTCTTGTTTTGATCATCGTTTAGCGTATCCATTGGATTTTCCCGGTTGCGGACACTCTTCTCAGGATATGTGAATAAAAATCAGAATATTTTTTTTGTGCAACCGGCCCAAGGTCTTCCGCACTGTCTCCCTCCATGTTGTTAAGAGTTTGTGAGCAGACGCAGAGGGAGGTGCGGGGCTGCACGGTGATGGTGTGAGAGGAGCAAACACTGGCAGGGCTTCAAGGAAACATAATAATTAACTCAACATCAAACTATATTGGTATAAATGGTATTGTCTAATTTTTAGTCCTGGACAATGATTAAAATTTCTTTATTGCAATGTGCACTATTGAATAATGAATTCTAAAGTAGTGTATTGCGCACTTTTAATTTAAATGTACTGCTATATACACACAAGTGCAGTAACATGTGGTTTGCAAACACTTTAAACAAATAAGGTGCTTTTTACCTGTTACAGTTTTGTAGTGTTTATCTAGTTGAGGACCCAAACGCAGGACACCAGAGCTGAGCAGATAAAGTCCAATGATTTATTAACCAAAAACAGTCCAAAAGTAAAATCCAAAGAAGGCAAGATGAAACAATAACCACAAGCTGGCCAGGCAGACAGGAACATGAGTCAGAGACAAATACAGGTTACAGAGCATCCACAAGCTACAAGCAAAAAACCACAATGATCCCACCCCGACTGAACAGAACACAGGCATTAAGTAGTGAGGCAAACGAGCAGGGCGGGAACATAAAACAGGTGGATCACTTGAAGGAGAACAGAACAGGAAGCAAAGCTAAACACAGACAGCAAACACAGACAACTTCAGAATAAAACAGGAAGCAAAGTACACGGGAACACACCAGGACAGATCTACTAAGAAAAACACAAAACATGGAAAGAATAATCAGGTCATGGACTGAGACCGGACCAAACAGGAGACAGGACTTCACTAAAAAATGGAGGACTAAGGACTCAAACAGGTAAAGAAATCCAGATAAACATTAGCTACAAAACCCTAAACAAGACAAGATCAAATAATGAAACACAAAAATACAGACCAGGAATAACACTAACATGAACTAAAGCACAGAACTAAGAACTAAGGCACTGGATTAAGAACTGAGGCAAAGAACTAAAATGCAGGACTAAGACCTAAGATAAGAGACAAAACGGATACTAAGTAAACCTAAACATGCGAATGAATAAAATAATAAACAAGGCTACACAGACAAACACAGAACCAAAAACAGACTTAAACAGCTTCAACAAAACAAACATGGGCAAAACAGTAGAGCACAAGACATGGAACCAAAACAAGACCAGAATCCTTAACTCACAACAGTACCAGCAGATTCCCTTTACACAGCAGCAATAAAATATTTCTTGTAAATCTCAACTTAAACATTAATGTCATCAAATATTAATGTAAGTGTTCTTTTATCAGGGAGCAGCAGAAACAGTCTATGTTCAGTAGCAAGCTGAAGTGGTTGTGCACAAGGTGTAGCGACAAGCGGGTGCGTTCCGTGAAACTGTCGCTGGTGCTCGCCTCAAGCACACGCCCGCCGGCTGCCGAAGTTGAATTGTCTTGAACTTTTTATACGCGACACACAGCACAAATCATTGGAAGAGCGACTGATTCTCCCTTTTGTGAGTTTCCAGAATCTATTACTGTTTACTAAATAGTTATCAGGACATCAACAGATAGGCCACACATGAGAGAGGACAACAAACAGCGGCAGCTGCTGAGCCATTCATCATAAACTTTGGCTTTAAAACTTAATACAACAAGACCCAAAGAAGCTCAGCATTGGCCATCTAACGTTAGCTTGCTTCTTGCTTTAGCTACGACCTATTGGAGGTTAGGTCCGACTGTCGTTCTTTATGAAAAGATGAAGTGCCAGTGTGGTGGTCGATTAACGTAGTCATTTATGTCCCACTGGCTGGCATGACGTTAATTATTAACGTTGGCTGCAAACAGGTTACAGGTTTATTGTTGATCATGTAACGTTACGTTTTTATTTAGTTAACGTTACACTGGGTTTGAGAGTCTGGGGAATGCGTTGTTTAAGGAGTTTAAGCTGTCATTGATTGCGTTGCACATTACGTGGTTGTGGTCTGTGTAAAACATAACAGTTTTACTGTTGATCATGTAACAGTGGTAACACTTTCTATGAAGGTCAGCGCTACAATGACTTTTGCATATATTTATAACACGATATAATGCTTCCATAAGACCATATCACAATTGTTATAATCACTTACAAACATGCATTAGGCACTATAGCAACATTTATAAGTCATTATGAACTTTTGATTTAATGTTTTATAACTTATAGTAATACCAGTTTATACCACTGTGCGCCAAGAATCTCCGACCATGTTCCATAGTACATTATAACCATAGACTCTGCCTCCTTATAAATACACTTTAGTCACAATTTAGTATTAGTGATACAAAATGGAATAATAGCTTATAATAATGTTCTATAGCATGTCTTTGTTTTAAGTAAAATGTTCATCCCTGTATAATATATTACAGGTGGACATAATACCACGCAAAATAATTATAAGAACTTTTAACGTGTATTTGTTTGCTTTAAGTAAAGTGACACACATTTTGCGCAGGAAAAACTTTTATTAATGTTTCTTCACCTTATGAACAATGAGTATGAATTTTGAACATTTTGCAGTTTAGCATAAAAACAAAACTTAATTACATCAAGGAAACTCATTCTCAGGGTGGCGAGAGATTGCTCGAGAGAAGATGTGTTGCCATCCACATGGCATCATGTAAGAAGAGGCTCAGATGTTGTCACAGATGAATGGTGAAATATGCGTTATCAATTAGATAGATATAGATTCTTCTTAGATGCGATGTGGACGTGGAAGATTCTGAATTGATTTACAAATGTCAAAATCTATTATCTAAATGTTAATTGAAAACGTAATGTTCACAGAACGCAAATGGCTGAACGTTCAGAATTGCGGAAGTGCAGCACCCAGACAGTCGGTGTGAAATTTCTATTGTGCAGAAATCACATCAAATCACGCATCAAGATGAATCGCCGCCCTCTGAATTGTAATCAAATCGAATTGTGAGGTGCCAAGAGATTCCCAACCCTTCTGCCGAAACAGTATGCTCATTCAGTTACTTTAAAATGTTATTTAAAAACTTTTGTGGAGCGGTTGCCACAATGTCTCCAATTGTCCATTGCATCTGTTAGGGCCTGTCCACACCCTCACCTATTTAGTAACGTTACACTGGTTTGAGATTCTGGGGGATGTGTTCACTTACAGTAGTTTATAAGCTGTCATTAGTTGTGGACAGATTGCACGTTAGGCTACATGGTTGTGCTCTGTGAAAAACAGTTTATTTTTGATCATGTAATGTTACAGTTTTATTTAGTTAACATTACACTGGGTTTAAGAGTCTGTGGGGTGTGTTGATTTACAGTAGTTAATAAGCATTGCATTGTCATTAATTGCATTGCACATTACATGGTTGTGCTCTGTAAGTGGAAAAACAGGTTACAGTTACAGAATCCCTTAAAGCTAAGCAGTTTTATAAGCAGCCTGGTTTGAACGCAGCAGGTGATACAACATTCAATATAACCACGAGGGACTTGAGACTTGACTTGGACTCTAGCTCACTTGTGAGCATCTCTGCTTCCCCAATACTAATCAGAATGCAGTGTGTAGCTATCCACTACGCTTTGGCATTTGTTCGCTTGTCTTGCTTTTGTTTATCTACTTCTCCCACACACTGCATCCAGCGTAGTCTGCCGAAGCCTCCCTCCACTGCTTGTTTGGGTGATTTGCAGGCTGATCAACATCACACCCCTCCTGTGACCCATGGTTTGACTGTATGTGTAATAAATAATAATAAAAATAAAAACTGCGTTAACGTGAGATAACGTGAGTCAGTTTATTAATCAATGCATTAACGCGATAATAACGTGTTAAGATGCCCAGCCCTACTAATTTTATATCTCTTTTGAAAGTATATCGATATACCTCATTATACAGATAAACCGCCCAGTCCTACATAATATTGTGAAAAGATTCAGACAATTTGGATATCTCAGGAAATGACCTTTAACGATCAGCCCCCATGGCACGTTTCACCTACATGTATGAAATTTCTGTGGCACATGTATCATGTCCAGACGTACCAAAAAGCCTCTTGGAGTGATGCCCCAAACACAACAGGAAGTCAGCCATTTTGAATGTTATGGTCATTTTTGGATTTTTTTACACACTCCGTAGTTTAACGAACTCCTCCTAGAGAATTAGTTCGACCAACTTCAGTCAAATCCCAGACGATTAAAAATTGTACAAACAGTGAGTTTGTGAAACAGACAGCTACAGAATCTGCAACGCGGTCGCCTCACACCTCGACGCGAACTTTGTCTCTTTTTAACTGTTTATTGTTGATATACAATACATATCTACATAAAAGTCAGAAGGATACACAGTGAAAAAACACACAAACAGTGTCAGAGGGGTCTGATTAAGCTTACATGTTAGATACGTAACTTGCAATTGTGTACTGCAAGGTCCCCACCGCTTTGTGTTGAAAAGCGGTGGGGACATAAGGGTTCAGATTAGGGGTGTGATCATACACTGAGCTCACGAGAGGAGATGATACACGAGAATGAGATGTGATGATATTTTAACTCTACTTTAGGATGTAGGATGTTTTTGCAGAATTCTGCATGTAAGGTCTCAATGGGATGCATCTCCCATCTGTTGTAGTTCTGGTGACTTTCTCTGTTCTAATGTGTGCTCTCTCTTGCTCTCTCTCTCTCTCTCCTGTGTTCTTTCTGTGTCCTCTCCCCCTCCTCAGATGGGATGGTGGGTCAGGTGTCTCCAGAGGCGTTGTTCTCCAGACTACAGACAGAGGGCAGCAAAACGGAGGCAGAGTCAGAGGTCAGAACTATAGAGAGAGAGAGAGACACACACACACACACACACACACACACATAATTTTGTATTTTCAAGATTAGAATATCTGTGTGACTGAACAGGAAAAGATAAAAGGCCACTGATGACTATCTTACAATGTGTTTTGCAGATTCACCTATATGGTCATATAGTGCATGGCACGTCAGAGATTCCCAGCCTCTTTGACACCGCTATTTAATTCTAGGGCTGAAACGATTCCTTGAGTAATTGGAGAACTAAAAATCAGTGATTCAGATATTTGCACCGAAGCTTAGTTTAATCCATACTACTATATACAGCACACACAGCAAGCAATTTTGCTTTAAAAAGACGTCTGATAGCCGTCTAAAAATAGCCCGGACGTCTGTCATCTTATGAATCGATTTTATCGATTTAATCGCTGAATCGTTTCAGCCCTAATCTCATCTCACCCTTCATACCTAGCGTAGAGGTATAATTCATTGATGAATAATGTCTTGGCTAGATGATGTTCCAGCCTACAACAGAACCTGGTTCAGATCAGCTCAGCTCCAGCTGCTGAGCTGATCCCTTCACAGGAATGTAGATGTGCAACAGGGTTTTAAATTACTTTACAAGCAGCCTGACGCTGCTTCAGTTCACACTTACAGATACAAAGTGTAGGCAGTCTCTGGCACCTCCATAAAGCTGGAGCTCTGTGAGTGTGTTGTGTTGAACACATATTTACATTGACTGTCCAGTTGTGTTCTGATGATGACTCATGTTGTTAATTGTTTTTTACGTGAAATGCACTAAAACTAGAGCTAGAAGCGTTCCCCATCCATTCCCCCATTTTACAGAGTAGTAAAACAACATCCACATCTCTGTAGCTCTGGCTGCAACACCAGGTCCCATTCACAACAAAAAGCAGCCTATCACTGGCCCGGCCTTTGATTCTGTATGTGTGAACAGCCCATTAGAGCATCAGTAGCCAACCTGAGAAGGTTGTGTTTGGAGGGAGATATTTTGAGAAGCTGCTTTAGAGGCAGTGTAGTACTTACAGTAATATGATCTGCTCAGCTGTAAGCTTCATTGTCAGCGATTGTTTGTCTCTGTCTGTAGGCGCTAGCTGATGAGTTTCTGGAGGGTTCTCTGCTTTTGGACTCCTTCCTTGACCGCTTCCTCTCCCTGCGCTCCCTTGCTCACAAAAGACGGGTGCGGATAGAGAAACTCCAGGAGATCCTGCGGCAGAGGAGCGAGGGCAATCCCACCTCAATGACATCATCAGCAGGCATCAGCCAGGATCCCGCAGCCACGTCCTCACCATGGAATCAACAGACAACAGCAACCACGACAAATCAGCAGCAGCCTAACTCCAAACCTCAATCCTCCAGCTACCAAAACGCCTCGAAACTGGCCTCCTCGTCTTCAGGGGGCTCCTCCGGCCTTCCTTACAGCCCGTACCCTGCTCCCCCCCCCAACTCTGCCCCTATGGTAACAGCAGGCTCCGGCCCGGCCAACCCCCCATCACAGTTCCCTCCGTACCCAGGTTCTGGCTCATCTTTCACCCCAGCAGGGAGCTACTCTGGTCCCAGGCCCGCTTTCGGGCCGCCAACTTCGACTGCCTGCCCTTACCCAACCCAGCCCTCCTTCCCTGCCCCACACCCGGGCTCAGCGTTCGGCCAGTACACCCCCAGCCAACCCCAGAGTGGCCCCGTGCCCTATCCTGCCTCCTACAGCTATGGCGGCTACAGCTACCCAGCCGGGCCCGCCTATTCCAATTCTCAGTCGCCAACAGGGAGACCAATCTGCAGACCAGGATATGGTGTTCCACAGCCGTACTCCTGACTCCTCTGTCTGATTTCTTCTTCACAATTCTTTCCTTCTTTGCTGTCTCACCCTTTCCTTCTCCCTCCCTCCTTAAACTCCACTTTTGTTACCCTAGTTCCCTCTCCTCATCTTGTCTTTTCTTCCCTCCCTCTTCATTTCTTCCATGCTCTCAGATTCATGACGCTTTACATATTTGTTGCACTATTTCTCTCTTTCTCAGTCTGTTGATCTCTCTCTTTCTCTCTGTCCTTTTCCCTGTCTCTGTCACCCTGTGACCCACCAACTCCCCCACACTAGTCTCAGGTTGTTGCGTTGTGTTTAAGTGTTAAAACACTTTTATCTGGCCCTTCACACACTCCCTCCCTCCTCCTCTTCCATTTCAAGAGTGTGTGTGTTGCTATTTGGCAATCAGAAACATACAAGTGCACCCCCTTATGACAAATACATAGAAAATCTGCCTTTGTAACACTACATCAGTGTCCAGTAGCTTTTGTCTAATGTCTAATTCCTACTGGTTTTTTTGAGCAATTCAATTCAAATCAGTTATATAACGCCAATTCATAACAGAAGTCCGCACTCTTCATACAGAGCAGGTCTGCACTGTATTCTGTACAGTCTGCATTGAGACTTGCATTGGAAGGTATTTTCTTGGGCTCAGCTCTTCCAGACCCTTCCCTACTCCAAACATAAACGTGACAGGTGACTTTTATTATGCACAATCACCTGTGGACAGAGGGCAGAAGAACCACCAGTAACTCCAGAAACCAGTCACTTTTTATTTTCTTCATCCAAAGAACCTTGTGACGAAGGCAGTGTTTTGTTTTTTCCCTTACATACAACATTAAAGGTCCCAGTGTAAAATGAACTTTTTCATGTCTTTTCAGCTTAAATGTGTCCCCAGTGTGACTAAGACACCCAAACTAAAAACAAACCCATCCTCTCTTTTTCTCCTGTTTAGACTGTCAGTGAACATGTGCCCAAACACACCGTTTGAATTTGCCTCCCCTCTTGACTTCAAGAATGGATCTGCGTAGCATAGGACCTCCTCCAGCCCTATAGCACTGTACATATACCCACCCTCACCCCAGCCGTCTAACACAGCACCAAGCCTAGAGCTGGAGGTTGTTCAGTCTGCCTCAACTGTGTGATTTATGGAGTGAATCTGATGGAAACTTAGCTTTACTTGTTGTTAGCAGTAACATTAGCCGTTAGCTGTTTTGTTCTGAACTGGGCGCACCCAGCGGTCCATAACTAACTGAGGATTGACGGCACCGAGGTTCCAGTCCGGGAAGAGTCAGATAGGATGGCTAGCAGCACAGCAAACTGAGCTTAATAGTTAGCCGCAGCTACCGTTAGCAGTAGTTATGGGCTAAAGTAGCTGCTAATAAACTAACTCCGTACATCACTGAAAGTGGAGGCAGAGCAGCCGAAAGACATCAGAGGGAAAACCAGAAAGTATTTTCTCCATAAAATCTGATCCAGTTTCACCAAAACCAGTGAATAAAGTTAACGGAGTGCTCAGAAAGAGAGTGAATAACACGTAAAGATTTTGTAGTAGACATGCAAAAAAAAGTATGAAAATGAGCATTATATGGGGCCTTTAACATTGAAAGAAGAAGTTAGCTGCAGCTGTATGTCAACCCTTTTCATCAGTGGCACAGCGATGTATATTCATCCTTGGTGACGTGACTACTCGCATGGTTAGTAGGTGAGCTATTGTAGCTGGCGAGCTAACAGCTAACACACCAAGCTTCTTTTCTATTTCCTCTGTACTGTTTACTCTCCATGGTATTTTGTTCTTAGGATTGTTCATCTTTTCAATCAACAGAGATACTAAAGGGAGAAAAAGCTCTTCAGGCTAAGCAAGCTTTTTAGCTACTGTCTGAGGTCAGTTCAGCATGTTTGAATGTGGTGCTGGAGAATGAACAAAGGCTATTTTAAACCACACTTTCTAAGCCTTCATGAGTTTTCCACAGTGTACCTAGCCCTAGATTCAAGTCAGAAAAATGCCACTATTTTCCTCAGAAATAAGTAGAAGTAAAAGTTTAAAGCTGCTGCACTAATTTATTCGTCTTTGGCCTCTTGGGGCAGGGGAAAACTTGTTCCAATGTAACATTGAGATATTATCACCTTGTAAATCTGCTGATCATGTTAGCAAAGAGCTGCCTATCTCCACCTCCAGCAGCTACACAGCAACATATTGATTTTCAACAAAACTTTTCTTTCTGTGTAAAGAGAATTTAAATTTTAACACCTTCCCAATGGAATGTCTCCCTTTCTTGACCTCCAACAAACGTGAACACAGCTTTCATTTTTATTTGTTAGCATATCTTACATTTGTAGTTTCATGCATGTAGCTTATTACAAACAGCTTCAAGACGAGAGATGTTACTGAATGTGCTGCTGTGGAAGGCAGATGTTTGTTACAACATACGTTAGCTATCTTAAATGGCTAACATTAGAGACTGACTGCCAACCTGTCGAACAAACAGAGCACCAATTCCACATAAGGACTAGTTTTAGAGAGCTCTTTTAACCTTTCACATGCTCGGGTTGCCAGCTGGCATAGTGGGGGATTGAACCATTCCCAGCAGACTTCCACCAACACCAACAAAATACAAATTCCTACTGATAAAGGTGGTGTTTGTGTGCTCAAAGTAAGTCAAATGAAAAAGTCTTAAGTGGGTAATCAATGAAATATAGACTGATGGAGATTTAGCGGGAATAAGGATCCCTGTAATGCCATAGTAACACTGTGACCTGAGACACGGACCTGCTGGAGTCAAACAGAAAACAGTTCCCACTTTGTATCTTCCCCACCTGTACTCCTCTGTCCTCACCTCCTGTCCGTCACTCTCCTCCTATCCACACCTGTTCGCTGAATAGTTCACACCATCAGTGAGAATACATGTGGTCTGTATAGTTTAATCAAGTAAAAATTTAAAGTTTGGTGATCAGATCTGTCAGTTGAATCCATTCAAATAATATTGAAATTGCAATGTATGTAATTTTGAGGAGGATCTTTCAGAAGTAGATACTGCCTCTCTAAACGTGTCTTACACCTTGGAATTACCACTCAACTAGAATATCAGATGAAACTGTTGCCTTGAAATGTAACAATTCATATTATCATCACTCCTCTCAGCGGCTTCATAGACCTTTACTAGCTAAAAAGCAGCTGTATAGTGAAACATTCTCTCCCTGATATTGATGTAGCATCCCAGTAGCCCCCTCAAGCCCTAAAATGTACTCCCAGTTCAAAACATCATCCATGAAGTCGTAGAAATGGAGGGCATTCAGGGGTGCTGTAACGATGTCATGACATTTGTGCCAATATTGTCACATCTGTGGGAATTTCAAAATATCACGTAATACTACACACAGGCTTTATCGGCAGTTCATTGTTTTTCTGTCCTTTTTCTGGCTGGGTCCTTTAGGAGAGCTGTAACTTTCATCAGGAGTCCAGCAGCCAGTCAATGATCTCATGACAGCCTCTGCTCTGTTAGTGTGACCTCCACAGGCTGACTGGACATCACCAGGAAGACAGTGTGGTTGCCATTAGCAAAGGAACAATCTGCAGTTATTTTTTTAATTATTATTTATAATCTGGCTTTGAGTTTCCTGGTTTCAGCCGTTAGTACATCTCTGAATGGTAATAATTGACACTTTGCCATTCTGTTTGCCTGAATGGACACCATTATAAAGTTTATCTCCCATGTCCACGGGCTCAGCAGCCCTTATGATCAAAGTAACTGGCCATCCGATGAAAGCAAAGTGTTTTTTCAATGGCAACATCTCTGGTAACAGGACTCAGATATTCAGTTCAAAAGGTTAAGCCCCACTTTCTATTGTGGACCATGAGTATGTGATGCTGTGACAACATGCATGTGTCCAAAGACTCATGAAAGGTGCAGTTGTATTTGTAGAGGGGGGTGTTGTGCCACTGCTCTTCCCAAAGATCACTACTTAACATTCAAAATAGTCTGGGTGGTGATATAACATTCTTTTAGTGGGAATGGCAACATGGATCAAGCTTATCCAACCAGTGACCAGTCAAGCTGCCTGAAGTCGCAGTTTCCTGAAAATCACATCACTAACACATGGCTGATGATATTGGCCTACACAGGCAATCACTTCAGAGTCCCAGAATGTGTACAATGATGATTATTTTTTGTTTTTGTCACATGGTTCTATGAGGATGGTCTGTGTAGTCGCTCCTACTACCAAAAGTTCTTTTCTGTGCTTATTACAAGCCTAACAGACAAATGCACAATTTCTTAGGAACCAGATAATCTTCTCCAGCAGAGAGCCACCAGACGTTATATGATTGGAACAGCAAATGTAACACTCTTTTTGAATGATATGTTGGATCACTGTTTCAGAATAGACAGAAAGTGTCATGGTTTGCTCATGTACTGGTCAATCTCAGGCCTGCACTGCTTTAACATGTTGCAGGTGTTTGGATGTGCTATTGACAGGCCAGACTGCCCTGTGCTCGTCTGAAAAAATAGATCAAATCAGCTAAAGGTTAGAAAAGAAGAATTATGGCCTGAGAATGATGGTGGTTTGCTTGTGTATTACTAGCTACAGAGCACTAGCTCAAAAGCAGTTATTTTGGTCAGAGGTAGCATCTGTTCTAATAAGGCACCCTTAATTAAGTATTATAAGTGTAGTTAGCTTATATATATATATATATACACACTTTATTTATCCCGAGGGAAATTCAAGTGTATATAATGATTTATTAAAAGTATTAAGGCTTTAATGATGATTAATAAAAATTACCTCATAGGTTAGTTAATCTATGAAGCATCACAAATAAAAACAACTTCTTACTTTGCTAGTTTATGAAGAATGTCGTCTTCAAAAACTTGAGGAGTGTTTAAATCGGAAGCATCTGAAGCGTTGTCGAATCCAAAGCTATCAACACAGTCACTGTAGCATTGCAAGCTGTATCTTAACATCCAAAAATGGCAGTTTAGGACCCAAACGATTTATTAAAGTTTGTAAATGTTTTAATTCCACATGCACACATGAAGAAAAGTCTGTGTTATATTCTAGATAATCTCACACATGGCCATTTATTGTGGCCAGTCTAAGGCACACCTGTGCAATACCCATGCTGTCTGATCAGCATCTTGAGGTGGACGGATTATCTCTGCAAAGGAGAAGTGCTCACTAACACAGATTTTGACAGATTTGTGAACAATATTTGAGAGAAATACGTCTTTTGTGTACATAGAGAAAGTCTTAGATCTTTGAGTTCAGCTCATGTTGAATGGGGGCAAAAACAAAAGGGTTGACTTTATAATTTTGTTCAGTGTATATGTCTTTAATTTAAGTGGCTCCTATGTTAGCAAGCTAAGCATCAGTTACACCAGCAGTTGATTGGTGTAAACATATATAAAATACTCGTCTCTACATAAGAACTAGTTTGGCAGGCAAACCTTTGAACTTGTGAATAGCGGCTGCCCATCTGACTTCATAGTGCTGCAGTTTAGCAGGGACAGTCCTCTTGATTTCTGACCTACTGGACCAAAAAAACATTAATTAACAACTTATTCACTTTTACAGATGCAGACCTTGTTGCTTAGTAGAAAGCAAGAAACCAGTGGATATTTATTAATGAATTACCAAAATTTAGAACTGCAGCACTACATTACACCTATGAAAGGATAAACATAGGTCTATGAGATTTTTCACTAACCCAAAATGTGTTAACGTTAATAGTTTATAGCTGATATATAAACATTAGTAAATGATGAATTAAATATTTATAACCCATTATTTACAACTTACATAACCATTATGACATTTATTTAGCTGGGGCTTTTATTCAAAGCGACTTACAGGAAGTGCTTCAGA